CAAGGTCGTATCCCAAGAGACCAAATAATTATTATACCAATTACTAGATTATGATAGTGTCGATTTTATTTAGACGACCGAATATGAGATGGATTAACTAAACTAAGAAAATATAATCAAGGATATAAAGCAAAAATAAAGAACTAGCTAGAAAACACGTAAGAAGATATATGAGAATGATAGATTCTAAGACTTTGGTTTCAATTAATAGTTGGGTTCCTTCAGAAATATCACAACCAATGTTTTCTTTATCTTCCCTATAAGATGATCACAAATTTAGCTTATCGTCCCTCTCAAGATCGATAAAACCGTAGATTAAATCACATATATTAGCGTCTCCACTCAACACATGCAATTCAACTCCAAATAGATTAAAAGATCTAATATCCTCACAACAACCTACTAATCTCTCGATTCAAGCAAGTAAATTGTGTCAAATATTAAAGACCTAATATTGAACTCATCTCTCGAATTATGAACAATATTGTCAAACATGTAAAAACATTGGCCAAGTGCTAAACATGAAACAAGAACAAAATATTTGAATAGGGTTCAAAAGAAAACAATCAATTATAATAAATTATCCAAAATCCCAACATATTAATCTACTACCAAGTCTTAGAATCAAATAATCTAGCTACTCATGTTTGAATTCAAATACATAGACATATTAGAAATCAACATGATCAATAAAAGTTCAAAAGAAAGAAGAAAGGAAAAACTAGGAATCTCGTCGATCTTTCAATCTCCTTGATCCCTTTGTGGTTGATCTTCTTCTTCTCCCAATTGCTCCTCTTGTGTGTTTTCCAACCTCTCTAATGTGTCCCTCCTGTTTGGCCTCTCAAACTAGGTTAAATATGCTTCCTTTTGTGTCCAAAAACCTTCTCATCGTCAAAATAGGTAAGGATTAAAATTCTGTTCCAGCGCGCGACACGACCACACGACCCGTGTCACAGGCCGTGTCGCAGGTCGTGTCAAGTTCAAGCCCTCGGAATGTCCCTGTACACGTGACACGGCCACCTGACACGGGCATGATGCCCGTGTCACCGTCCATGTCACATCCCAGCACTCTCGTTTTTGTCCGTTTCACTCGTTTCTTCTATATTTCTCATCCGTGCATCAATCCATCATTATCTCGGGGGTCCTAGGTACTCACCATGCGCCTCCAATAGCCACAAGCTCTACAAATATGTGAAAATATCTACAAAACAAGCACGTGTAATACCTTTCCAACAAATAGAGAATTAAAGCACAAATATGCGATTTGTACACTACTAATGCAATGACTAAGCTCTAAATACTCAATAAATATGGTGTAAAATCACACATGAACAGTGATTCATGTTTCAAATGGGTTGATATGTATTTGATGGATTAACAATAAAAAATTCTTAGGGCTTGAGCTATATTTGTTTATACTTTCGAAATACTGTAGGTAACCTCTAGTTGATTTCTCATCACATAGGAACAAATAAAACCAATCCCACAACTGATGCATTGCTGACTGTCAGTTCTCTGCAGTTTTAAAGAACTCTACATGCATAAGGGCCCATATGTGTTTAACACTTTAAATTGATCTATTTTTCCCCCTTTTACTGTTGTGATAAAAGTTGCACCTAATTTCACAAACTTTGGATCTTGTGACCTTGTCCATGTGCATTCATTGCCTGTCTTTCCTTTGTTGAATTGATGCCTCAAGTCTCGGTCCTCTTGGAATGTTCGATTATTTGGATAAAATTTGAAACTCCCCCATGTTTTTTAGCCAAACCGGATCACAAATCGTGGCATTTTTACATTCTTTTAGCAATATTGGCGAACTTTTAAGGACAGAGCCAATCAACCATAAAAATTACTCATCACTGTAAGATTTTCTTGCCAGTATTCATTATTGCTCTTTTGTTTTCCTTCTCATTTAGCCTAACCTTTTGTTAGAAATGCAGAGATACTCGGCCGATTTCAATCTTTGTCACCTCATACCATGCGTCATTAAAATCGAAAGTTGCTCGTCTTACTTAGACACAGTAGCTGTTGAAAATTCTAATATTGATTTACTTTCACTTTGTTTTGCAGGGCAGCAGGGGTCTCTTTTGAAGTCCTACCCATTTCAATTTTGATGCACATTAACCTGCGAAATGCAAATGTCTTATGACTTTTTTAGTATCTGTAATTCGTCATGAAAATAGAATTGGCCAACGGGTTGGACTCCAGTTCTTGTCCCGACCCGATTTAACCCTTTAATGGCTTTAACCCCTGCTAGTCTATGTTGACCTAAAAAGTGCTCTCTATATTGAATTCAACAGAGCTATTAGCATGAATTCGGTCCAAAATTCAATTCCTACCCTTTGATATTTGGATATTAGTAGCATTGGGCTCATGCAATTATTTGCTTTTCTGTTTGGATTTTTCCTGAAATTAAACAATGTCAGATGTTACTCGCATGATGCAATTTACGGATGTTTATTCGTTTGAAATTTCGCTTGATATTTTAAGGCTTTTTAAAATTTTCAGATTTTGGTGTAATCCTATGAAATTTTAAATGGTAGTGTGATTTAGAGTGGTATTTCTTGCATAAAGTTTTTTTATTTAAAATCTCAACAAATCTTAAAAAGTCTTAACAAATCTTAAGGGATGTTATCATTCGGGTTTCTAAATTTTTTTTAAGATTTTAGAAATTATGATGTATTTAATTTAGATGTTTTAATACTTTTAGAAGACTTTTATTTTTCATTTGGGATTTTAAGAGGTATATAACTTATTTAAACTAAGATTTTTTAAGATTTATTAGGATTTTTAAAGAAAAAAATTTATGCGAAATTCCACTCAAAATTCTACCTCATGCTTAAGATTTCACAAGAATTTTTTTAAAATCTGAAAATTTTATAAAGTCTAAAATCTCAAAAAAATTTAAAATGTGACTCGAAATTCCAAACAGATACATCCCCTTAGTCTCAAATAAGTTAATTACTTCAAGATTTTGTAAAAAAAATTTAAATCTCAAATGAATACTCTCTGATCTTTAAAAGTCTTAAAAAATTTAAATTAAATACACTAGCATCTCTAAAGTCCTTAGAAATTCTAACTAAATACACCTCTAAATGTCAGCCATTCATGTAAATTGGAACAATAAATAGTTACACATATGATGCTGTTAGCGGGAAAATTAAACCTCAAATTGGAGGCAGAACACTGTGTTGTTTGATCATACCACGTTATGAAATTTCGACCTAAATAAATCAATTGGCATTATTCCGATGCATTTCCTCAAATGTTTCATATTTATTATTATATGTGCTGTATTTATAATTAATGATGTTCATGTTCATTACATTATTTGGTGCCTGTCATTGTAGTGTTTGTTTCTTCAGAATTTGTTTGTACTTTGTATTAGTGTGTGCAATTTGTTTATGCTTTAGAGTGTGCTGTGTGCACTGTGCGACAGTGTGTGTGTGTGAGAGAGAGAGAGAGAGAGAGAGAGAGATTGGTGTTTGCTTTTACTGTGAAAAAGATTCCCGCCTGAGCACAGATAATGCTTTGTTCACACACTGACAGAGACGGTTAGCGTGAAGGTGTGAGGGCATTTTGGGTAATTAACATTGACCAAGGGTGTGTTTGGTTGTGATAAATTGGGACAGGTCGATGGTACTGGCGCCAGTGGGAAAACAAGTTTTTGTCTCGTATTTCAAATTCGGGGAAAATATCGAAATTCATCGAATTCTGCGTGTTATTAGGGAAAAAAAATCATTTTTTAACACAAACTATGTTTGTATTTTGTTTTTGGTATTTCATATTTTGATGTAATCAATACTTAATATTTTATTATTCTATCTATTAGTCAATGTCAATTTTTTTTAAACAGTAGAGAATTCTACTAAAAACACTGAAACACGGTCTAAAAGCAATTACAATAGCTAAAACAATGGACTATTAAATTGCATGTAGAAGGGCTACGTAGCTCCCTAATAAAATACTGTGTAAATGAGATTAAAAGCACACAAAAAATAAAAATTAGAAAAAAATGTAGAATAAGTTATTTCCCTCCTCAAGCTAACATGTCGCCGTCGCCAAACCGCCTATGAGCCTCCGAACCGTCGCCCTCAAATAGACCTCCATCAAATTCAATGGCATCCACCAACATACTATAAAGTCATCCATCCAAATAATAAAATAAGAACCGCGTATTTGAAACCAACAAATATGAAAACATTAGTTAACACAAATGGTTAGTTGAATAAAACAAGCGCGAATGTAAGATGACGACATGACGTCGAAAAATCAAGGAAGATGTGCATTCTAAAGGGATGCCGGTCTAAACCAATTGTCGATAAGGGGTCCTAATGCCGACACTATTGTTGGAAGGTGGACTAGAGATATTTTGGAGGGGACTTTGTTGTTGGATTATTGTTATTTTTTAAAAATGAAAATGAAGTTTATTCAAAAGTTATTGAATATTTAACTATTAAATTTTCATGAAAAATATTTGTAAGAATAAAAACATTAATTTGAAGAATTAGTACACCTTTTTACATTGTCAACCTTATTGTTGTCGCCTTCTGTCGGTAGGCACCGTGCATTAGCACCTGTTGTCTTTGTTGAATTTTTAAGAATTGCACATTGGACTTAATCCGGCATTTGGATTTTTATGAAAAATATATATCTGCAGGCTAATTTTTATAAGAACCCAACATTATTTCTCAATTGTCAATAGGATATTTCTGTCGACACCAAATCGCTATGACTATTTATAATTTTCGAGTACTCGGTTGTCGACATCAGATCGAGTGCCGAACATTATCAGGTGATCTTCGACTACTCAATTATCCAATTTTGATAAAATAATATCTTATTTGTTTCATTTTCATGAGTTACAACAGCTTTTTATCAACTTCAATTTATAATTCCACATGATTGTTAGTATGAGCTCCAATGTTTGGCCTTATTTCAAATATCTTTTTCGTATCTTCAACTCACATTTCAATTTCCCATTTATTTGCCTTTTGTAAGTATTGATAGTTTTTGATTAAAAAATCAACGTTGAACTAAACTTAATTAATAGACGAAAATGTTGAGAATTACGTGAAAACGTGGTTTAGCAAAATTGAAAAACAGATAAAATTGGTATCCCTCATTTTTTTTTTTATTATTTATATAATTTTATGTTTGTCCTGCGTAAAAAAATAATATATCAGTAAATAACTTGTTATCGTTCACCAAACAACTCCTACAAAAGGAACACCAGAAGCAAATCCGTGCCCAACTCGAACTGCGGCAAAAAGCAAAACGGAGCAAGTAAAATGGGTGCACTGAGCCGAGCTCTGACTAGCAATGCCGCCATCAACACCGCTCTCACCGCCGCACTCGGCTTTCTGATGGTGAGATCGGTGGTGCAGGAGCGATCGATCCAGGCGCTGGAGGCGCATAACGGAGTCCTGCTCGAGGAAAACAAGCTCATGAAAGACACAAGATGGGACTGGAAGCAGAAGCTCTACGCGGAGGCCGAAGAAAATCCCCAGAATGCCCCTGTGCTCATCTCTACTCTCAAGTCTCTCTACGGTGAGGCTGTCGCCGCCCCGACCTCCGACGCACTTGTTGGTAAGTTCACTTCTCCCATCTGCTCGCTCGGTTGCTTGTGCTGCTTTGATTTGTTGTCAGTTGAGTAGTTCCGCGAGGTACCTCGAGCAGAAACAGATCTAGTAGTGTTGAAAACATTTCAAAGGAAATTACGATGGATGAGAAATGTGTTCATGATTTAATCCATTGTTCGTTTCTGATTGTGAGCCATTTCTTTGGTCGGATGTTTTCCGGTGCTGCTTTGATTTGTTGTGAGTTTTGCAGTAAGAGTAGCACCGTGAGCTTCCTCGAGCAGGAACAACTACAGTAGTGTTGAAAATGGTTAGAAGGGAAATTGGGTGGATGACAAATGTGTATATGATTTGATCGATTGTTCGCTTCTTATTGTGAGCATTGTCTTTTGTTATAAGTCATTGGGTCTGCGAATTCTCGAAAGATATTCATGTTTTCTACGTGTTGGGCTCCACGACTCCCTGTGGACAGCCCGGTCCATCAGTAAGATATTGTCTGTTTTTTGGGTCAAGCCCTCATGGTTTTGTTTTTGAGCTCTAATTCTAACGGAGATGTCTAAGCTATGAATGCCTTTCCTTGCATTTTCAAGTTTGAAGGTTGATACGTGTGAGATTATGGTCGTGTACACCTGATCACATGATCTTTTAGTTGATCATCCTATCAGTTGTTTTTCTGTGTTGATAGTAAAACTAAGGTCTGCATGTGCTTGGTGGAAACAGCATTGTAATTATCACCACATATATGGTGATCCTGTTGTATTTTTATCTTAATTTTCAAGACATTTATATCCAAATTTGGCTGTATTGCGTTGTTCTCAGTTTTTTCTAGATTATTTTAGTTGTTTAAGTCTGCCGACAAAGGCAATCACAAACCACCTTAAATAAATCTGCTTATGTATAACTTTTTTCCTCATTTTCTTTCTGCAGCACGAGACTGTATTGCATTGTTCTCAGTTTTGTCTAGATTAATTTAGTTGTTTAAGTCTGCCTTTGGACAAAGACAATCACAAACCACCTTAAATAAATCTGTTTCCTCATTTTCTTTCTGCAGGCCGAGATGATAAGCAAGACGGAAAAGTGCCCGCACCAAAAATCATGACCTAAGAGGTATCTCATAATCTATGGCATAATATACATTTATTTTGCCTTTAATCTGTAAGCTTATTGGAACTGGAGTAAGCATAGATTTTGCAAGTAGTATGCGGAACACTTTACAAAAGCCCTCTTGAATTACTTTTGGAACATTTTGTCAGTCTAGGCAATTGCATAACTTGCCGTTTTACCAACGCCAACAAGCCTCATATATTAAGACCAAAAAATTTAATATGGGGAACGAGAAAATTGAGAGGGAAGTTGCAATATCGTAAGGAGAATTGAAAAATCTAGGACAAGGAGGAGAGAGATTAAAAGTCGAAAGACTATAGTAATGAAGATTGGATTTTTTGGGGTTGTGCTGTTGTATGTGATATTCATGTTTCAAATGGTTTGATATTTATTTGATGGATTAACAATCAAAATTTCTTATGGCTTGAGCTATATTTGTTTATACTTTCGAAATACTGTAGGTAACCTCTAGTTGATTTCTCATCACATAGGAACAAATAAAACCAATCCCACAACTGATGCATTGCTGACTGTCGGTTCTCAGCAGTTTTAAAGAACTCTACATGCATAAGGGCCCATATGTGTTTAAATTGGTTTAGTTTTACTTTTTTTTTTTCTGTGACAAAAGTTGCATCAGAAACTTTGAATTTTGTCTATGTGTATTCATTGCCCGTCTTTCCTTTGTTGAATTGATGCCTCAAGTCTTGGTCCTCTTGGAATGTTCGGTTATTTGGTTAAAATTTGAAACGTTCTCATTCTTTTTAGCCAAAATGCATCACAAATTCATGGCTTTTTACCTTCTTTTAGCAATATTGGCTAACTTTTAAGAACACAGCCAATCAACAATAAAACTTATCATCACTGTAAGATTTTCTTGCCAGCATTCCTTCTCATTTAACCCAACATTTTGGTAGAAATGCAGAGATACTCGGTCGATTTCAAGCTTGGTTACCTCATACCATGCGTCATTCAAATCGAAAGTTGCTCGTCATACTTAGACACAGTAGCTGTTGAAAAATCTAATATTGATTTTGTTTCACTTTGTTGTGCAGGGCAGCAGGTGTCTCTTTTGAAGTCTTACCCATTTCAATTTGATGCACATTAACCTGCAAAATGCAAATGTCTTATGACGTTTTTAGTATCTGTAATTCGTCATGAAATTAATGTGGCCAACGGGCTGGACCTGCCGGTTGCCTGACCGGCAGGTAAACGGTTTACCCTTTAATGGCTTTAGCCTCTACTATTCTGTGTTGACCTGAAAAGTGCTCTCTACATTGAATTGAAGTATTGAACAAAGCTATTAGAATGAATTTGGTCCAAAATTCAATTCATAGCCTTTGATATTTGGATATTTGTCGCAGCAAAATTGGGCACACACAATTATTTGCTTTTTTTCTTTTTTTTGGATCTTTCCTGAAATTAAACAATGTCAGATGTCACTCGGATTATGCAATTTACAGGCGAGGCGTGTATTCGTATGAGATTTCGAGTGATATTTTGAGACATTTTAAGATTTGAAATTTTTTTAGATTTTCGAAATTTGGAGAAATCCTATGAAATCTTAAGTTTGGTGGTGAAATTTAGAGTAGTATTTCTCGCATAAAGTTTTTTCATTTGAAATCAAAGCAAATCTTAAGGGGTGTATTCATTTGGAGTTTTTAAAAACTTTTTGAGACTTTAGAATCATAGTGTATTTTTAATTTAGACGTTTTAAGATTTTTTAAAGCCTTTGGGTATTTATTTGTAATTTTAAACAGTCTTATAAAATTTTGAAGTATTTAGTCTTAAATAAGTTAATTACCTTAGGGCGTGCTTGTTTATGAAATATTTCATTCAAAATGAGTTATTTTAGTTAATTAGAGCTAATTTTGAAAAAGGTAGTATGGTTAATTGTTAGTGGGATTTTAAGAATGTATTAAAATAAAATGATTAAAATTGATTTGATGTAAAAGTAAAATATAAATGATTGGAAATGATTAGAAATGATAGGTAGTTAAAATTATGTGAGTGGATGAATAGTGAATTAAAGTTGATGTGATGTGTAAGAATGATTGGTTTGTATTATTTAATTATATGAATAATATTAAAGATAATGAAGTTGGGTTAAAGTTGAGTTAGATTTTGAGTATGAATTGGATTGAAAATGAAATAATTTGTAAACAAGCATGCCCTTAGAATTTGTAAGACTTCTTAAATCTCAAATGAATACTCTCGGACTTTAAAAAGTTTTAAAAATTTTAAATTAAATGCACTAAGATTTGTAAAGTCTTAAAATTTTTTAATTGAATACACCTCTAAATGTCGAGCTATTTATGTAAATCGGAACAATAAATAGTTACACATATGATGGTATTAGCGGGAAAATTAAAAATACAAATTGGAGGCAGAACATTGTGTTGTATTGATCATACCGCATTACAAAAATTCGACCTAAATAAATCAATTGGCATTATTCGGATGCATTTCCTCAAATGTTTCATATTTATTATTGTATGTGATTATAACTTTTTACCTAATTATGTGGGGGAAAATGCAATCACTTGGCTAAATCCAAAAGCTCGTAATTTCAAATTTTTATCAAAATTATATTATTATGGTTTCATACAGTGTTTTGAGACCCGGCTCGGCCCGGAACTGGAACCGGTCCGGGTGGAGTATTTAGACCGGGCAACCAAGGACCCGGTCAAACCCGGTCAAAACCCGGCCGACCCGGGGATTGACCCGCCGGGGGTTGACCCGGTCAATATATATTTTTTTTATTTTTTTTATTTTTTTTGTTTTTTAAAAATAAAAATATGTATATATGTTTATATGGTAAATATTTATCATGAGATACATATTATTAACACTTTAATATACAAATTTTATACACAAAAAATTTAATTGTGTTACTTTATGTATATTTATATAACAAAAATACTCTATATATAATTTTAAAAATTTTAAAATTAATTATTCGGTTCAACAATTAACCCGGTGACCCGACGGTTGAATCGATGACCCGGTGACCCGAGGACCTGCCCGGATCGGTCACCGGGTTTAAAAACTATGGTTTCATATAGTTAAATCGAGAAATATATTATTTTCAATTCACACAATATGAATTTCTTTGTCAAATAAGTACGTTATTTCCATTTAAACAAAATAACTATTTTTCAGTCATAAGTATCATAATTACCACATATGACTTTGTAACAGCAATCAAATCGTGATTGGTAGAATTTTATCAGACAATATAAATTAATTATATACTTTTTGACAAATTTGGTTTTCACCTTTCACTGCGTGTGTGCAGCAAATACGAATAAAATAAAACCAAAAAAACGCACGAAAAAAGATAGTGAAGAAAAACCAAACACAGGATTGAAAATTCATCCAACTAGAATCAAAACAGAGAGGATAAATTTTTTGTTTATTGTTAGAAATTAAAATGTCCTGTCAAAGCACGTAAAAATGGCAGAGCTCACCAGGCTTTGTACGACGGCCGGACCCATCAGCCGCCGATACGCCGCCACTGAAATTCATGGGCTCCTTTATCGTTTTCGCTGTTAAGCTCTGTCAATTCAATTTTGTTTTAATCTTTTCTATTGGATTTCGTTTTCAATTCTTCTGGGTAAAGGCTGTTTGTGATCTGTGGTTGGTGGAAACTGGAAACGAATCATGGAGGAGACTGTGTTCTGCCAGTGGGTTGTGATTCGATCCATACTGTCTATTGTCCAGTGGTGGAGTTTCAACGTCACTGTTATCATCATGAACAAATGGATCTTTCAGGTGAGGATTTGTTATACCCAGTTTTTGGTTAATTAATGATGTTCGTGTTCATTGCATTACTTGGTGTCTGTCACTGTAGGTGTTTGTTTCTTCAGAATTCGGAGAGTGTTGATGATATATAGTTTGGATTATGATTCTTGTTGGTGGATTTCTGTTATTGGAAATTTAGGAGAAGCTATATGTGGTGTTTGGCAGATTTGAGTATCGAATTTTTGTTTCATGGAGTTGCTGATACTGATCATATTGGTCACTTGTTATCCAGTAAGCAGCTTGGGTTATGTTATATATGTGCTGTTTATTGGGTTTAGCGGAGGTCTGTACTGGAAAACCACGGATTTTATCAGGATTGTTAGCTTCTGACTGAGTTATGGGAGCTCATACATGGACACAATTGTTCATATATGTATCTGCTGCTGTTCTTAAGATTTTGTTCATGGATAAATGTGATGCATTATGGAGCTATGCTTTATATCTTCTTCTTGTAGTGTTGTAATCCATGATTGGAATCTTTTCTACTGGTGAGGGTCGATGATTGATAAGAAGTGCACTTCTGGTTTTTCTAGTTTAGTGTATTTTTCACATGGATTCATATTTCAGCATGTAAATTTTGTCTCGTATTGGTTCGAAATGTGATCCCTTTTTCAAAGTGAAGTGGTAGATGAAGACGATATAGTGATCAGGTTTATGTTTCATGATTAATATTAGTATTTTCCATCAATATTTCAGTAGCATTGATTATCTTGTTTGATTTTGTTTATTATTTTTTACGGGGTTTTTTTCTTTCTTTTTCATGTTCGGAAACTGGACTTCAAGTTTCTTTGTTGGGTCTTGTATATTCTATTATCCACCACTCTTCATTAGAATTAATTGTCTTGTATGATTTTGTTTATTATTGTTAACGTCGCTTCTCGTTTATTTTTTTTTTTTCCCCTTTTACAGAAACTGGATTTCAAGTTTCCATTGTCAGTCTCATGTATCCATTTTATTTCTTCTTCAATCGGTGCATACTTGGTTATTAAAGTGCTGAAACTCAAGCCTCTTATTCATGTTGATCCCGAAGATCGATGGAGGAGAATTTTCCCCATGTCATTTATATTTTGTATAAACATTGTGTTGGGAAATGTGAGCCTTCGGTATATTCCTGTTTCTTTCATGCAAACCATCAAGTCTTTCACCCCTGCAACAACAGGTAAGATTTTTTAGTTTGTAAAAGGGAAAAATAGTCATGGAAAGTAATTTATGTACAGTTATATGATACTTAAATGAAGAGTTCTCTATTTTTGCCTAAATTCGATGATTCTGTTTCTTCTTATAGAACCTGGGGATAATTAAAAGAACTACTAGTGAGGTTGGGCTCAATTATGAAAATTCTAGCCACGATTAAAAATTACAGTTAGTCCTCTTCAGGTGTTGCAGAAGTTCCTATGAGGTTACTTAATAAGTACCCTTTATGGAGGATTAATTTTCAAAAGATAAATGATATAAGTAGGGCATTTTGATGCTTGGATATAAGATGTTTTGATTTAATTTGGATCTTTTGGTTTGGCATGGTTAATTTTGAAAAAAATGGTGTGGTTAGTTGTTAGTGGGATTTTGAGTTTATATTAAAATAATATTTAAAATAAAACAATTAAAATTGATTTGATGTAAAAATAGGAGAGAGATGATGTGAAGTGATGGTTAGTTAAAATTATGTGAGTGGATGAAAAGTAAACTAAAGTTAATGTAATGTGTAAGAATGATTGAGTTGTATTGTTTAATTATACTGATAATATTGAGAATAGGGAGGTTGAGTTAAAGTTGAGTTAGATTAATGGTTGATTAAAAATTACTGATTTTTTTAGAAAAATTTGTATCCAAGCATCCCCTTTTAATTCTGAAAAATTATTATCTCCTCTTGTCATTATGCTAAAGATCAGAAGTTGGCTTTCTAGTTAACCCCGAACGTTATTCAGCAGACAGCTTATTTCACCATTCTTCGTTTTTGCTTGATGATGTCATTGATAACATACTCAATTTCTTCATTGCTTTTTGACAACAGTCATCTTGCAATGGCTAATCTGGAAAAAATATTTCGACTGGCGTATTTGGGCTTCTTTAATTCCCATTGTTGGAGGGATTTTAGTTACCTCTATCACAGAGCTTAGTTTTAACATGCTTGGATTTTGTGCTGCTTTATTTGGCTGCCTTGCTACTTCCACAAAAACCATTCTAGCAGAGTCTCTGTTACATGGATACAAATTTGACAGGTAACGACCGCTCTTCTTTATTTTTGTAATTAAACCTGTCAAAACTCGTTGTCCTTCCTTTTCTGTTGAAGAGAGATGATTTAAATGATTATTTGGTCTTATTGGTATATACCAGAAATAATATCCTAATACAACAAATTCTGCAAAGTTGTATCACCATATGTTGCAACCCTCATTTGGATAAGTAGCTTGATTTCAATGCACTCGATGGAGGTGACCCGGATTAAGTTCTCTCACACTTTTCGACTCATAGAATATTTGTCATGATGTTCATGTATATGATATCCATATAAACATGTTGAAATCGTAAGAAATCCATTCTTGATTGAGCTTCGAATCTCACCTTTTTAAAATTCTGTATTTTACTATTGAACTGGTTTTATTTTTCGAGTTGAGTGCAGTATAAACACGGTGTACTACATGGCACCACTTGCGACTATGATCTTGGCTGTACCAGCTATGCTACTCGAGGGTACAGGGGTTATGGCGTGGATCCAAACGTGCCCTTCACTTATTTCATCCCTCATCATCATATTCGGGTCTGGGGTTTTGGCCTTTTGCCTCAATTTCTCTATTTTCTACGTCATTCACTCCACGACAGCTGTGACCTTCAACGTTGCGGGAAATCTTAAGGTGCGAGTCTCTAGCCCTTGTGAAGATAGTCAAGTTTATTCTTTTTCGAAAAGTTTCCTTTCTTTGTTTCGCATAACAAGATTAATTTGAAGTGAAGTAGACCACACGAGTATTACTGAAAAACCCAGTCATGTTTCACAATTACAAACAATCACAATTACAGAATTGTTCCATCTAGAGGGGGAATTAGGTGAGCTACTCTCGAGGGGCTTTATCCTATGCCATATGTTACTCTTTTTGAAATCTAGACTATGTTAAGTAAACTTGATAAACTAGCTCATAAGTTTGTTGATAGCTTATAAGTGAATTTCGAGTTTATAGCTGATGGCTTATGGCTGATAAACTAGCTGATACGATAAAAGTGTTTTGGTAAAATTAGCCAAAATCAGCAATTTTCAACGGGCATATTAGAAAAGCTACCCAATAAAGCTTATGACATGATCTCAAGCTTTATGAAAAAGCTCGTCTTACTAAACCGAGCTTATTTGTATACAAAAAGTTTATAAGCTAACCGAATAAGCTGTAAGCTAGCTCATAGTGCTTGCCAAACCACACCCTCATAATCTCTATATTTTCATCTCAGGTTGCGGTTGCCGTCACATGCTCATGGCTTATTTTCCGAAACCCAATCTCCATAATGAATGCCATTGGTTGTGGCATAACACTCGTTGGGTGTACCTTTTATGGATACGTGAGGCACTTTTTGTCGAGCCAAGCTATGGGAACCCCTCGCACTCCCCGAACTCCTCATACTCCCCGAACTCCTCGTACTCCGCGGACCCCACGATCCAAAATGGAACTGATTCCATTAATTAACGACAAATTAGAAGATAAAGTATGACTCCTTCCGTAAATCTACGCTGATCTAAGCAACGTAAATTGCTCGATTGATTTAGAAAGAAAGAAAGAAAGAAAAGGGGAAGATAAAGGGTAGGTACATTGTTGGTTTCTAGCAAGAGATTCATCCTTACTGATGAAATATGTTACAGTCTACTTTTAGCCCCTAATATTATCATTGTTATAGATATTATTTATTAGCAGCAATGTCCAAGGTTGGTTGGCTAGGATTATTTGCAGAATCACTCGAGTTTTAGTTTAACACTTTAACTACAAAAAGTTATTGTTAGCTTTCATAATCCCAGTGGTATCTCCATTGAAGAAATTACAGTTTCAGACTCACGAGTTTGAGGAGGTACTTAAGTTGCTGTGTTTTTTTTTTTCTTCAATTAAATTGCATTTCAGACATTTTGGTTTAAGTAATCGTAAATTGACCAGAGCTGTGAAAATAGGTGGGGTCAAAAGGGCTGTCATATTGAAAGGCCAAAGTCCATTCCATGATTTATATTTTACAGAAAATTTTGAGGTTGAGCCATTTGGGCTATATAAGGCACCTAGACATACGGGCTCAAACCTCAATGGGCTGTGTCAATTTGGCACTATTTCTTCTGAGCTCAAGCCCAGCTCTTGCTATAAAGAACTCCCATCTTCATTTCCACTTATATAGGATATTTTTTGTAAACTTATAGCTCATATCTTAGTAGAAAAGTTAGTTGATATGATAAAATGATAAAATTAGCTGATAAGTCAACTGAAATACAAAATAAAAACGGGCTTATTTAAAAAGTTACCTCGTATGAGTTAAGTTTGAACTTTTTAAAAAAACTCGTCTTCCTAAACAAAGCTTACAAAGCTTATTTGTATACAGAAAAGTTATATGTTAACCAAGTAAGTTATAAGTTAGTTTATAGTGTTTACCAAACACACTCATAAGCACTTTGCTAGATCTAGCTTGTAATAATAATTGATTGTGAAATATCTAAAGTGCTCTCTTGTTCATGAGGATTGATAATTTAGAAATACAAGACTGTTACTACAAATTATTTTCTACATTGTAATTATTTTCCTATTCCTACTTCAAATTGATCAAAATCTAAGCCAGGAGCCAAAAGTTCTTGTGCCATTTTGTGCTAATGAGGTACCCATTGACTCCTTTGCTCTGCTTCCTAACTCCAATTGTCAAACACTCCAAACTGTTGATACATTCTTCCACAAATTCCTCTGTGCTCCTCCCAATAAACAGGCTGCCACAATAGAACATTTGTTGTTATTTGTAAAGTACACCCTCGAATGTGGACTAATTACAACTCGGTTCAGCAAAGTCACGAAATTTGGCATATTGTAATCATAGTAAAAAAATGTTGTGTAAAGAAGGGGGTAAGAAAAGAATCTCAACTGGGATGTTTTTCAGAACTGGACCTTTTTTGTAACTAGGCACAACTTGAGGGGTTGTTTAGTGATATACACAAATTTTAGTACTGGAAGTAATAAATTAAATTGAAGTGTAAATGTACTAACCAATTGAGAAATGGAGATATTTTCTTTTGACCTAGGACCAATACAGAGACCTCCAATTTCTTCACTTGGCTCATAATTGTAGCCATTTTTGGTCCATGGATGACTAATGCTTCAACTTCAACCTAAAAGAAAGCAACACAATCCCATGAATCAAATAAAATTAGTTGAAAATTCCAAACTTAATTTGATGAAAAGGGACAAAAATGGAAGGTGTGGCAAAAGATAAATTAAAAGGGCCCTTAAATTACTGCTAAAGAAAGGATGAACTAAAAGAATCAATAAAATGATGTCTGAAGATCTTT